CCCCGACCCCGTGACCACGCAGGCGGCCAATGCTCGGCGCCCCAGCCGCGCGGCCTCAGCGCCCGCCCGGCCCAGGCTCCGCCCACAGCCCTGCTCCTCCCTCCGCTTCTTTGCTGGCTGGGGCGCAGGCGGCAACACCCGGATCCCGGAGCACGGGCCGGGTCGCGGAAAAAGGGTGCTCGCTGGGAGCTCCCCGCCCTCTTCCCTCCCCCTTGGGCCGGGCCGGGCCGCCCGGGGCTCCGGGTGCCGGGAGGGAAGAGGGGGAAGGGAGGAGGGCCGGGTCCGCAGCTGCCGCCGTAGGGACGTCTGCAGGTGCGCAGCGTATCACCCCCTTTTACAAAACGGCGGTCCTGGGAAGTAGGAAGTTTCCCCTCCTCTTCCTTCCGCTGGGGTGGCGGTTCTCTCCGAGATGGGCAGGATTTGGGGCAGCCCGAGCTGCGAGGAGCCTTACTGAACGGTTTTGACAGCATCTGTTTGGATTGTGGATCCAAGAATTCTGACCAAGACTCTCCTTTTTTTGGGGGGGGGGGGTAACTAGCACACACATACACACCCGAAGTGCCCTCTCTAATTTTATTCTTGTCAGAACCCCGCGCGCAACATCCTATTGGAAGGACTTACAGCCTCCCGGTACTAAAGACCAGGGTGGGGATGCCGAGAGTCCTCCCAGGCCGCAGAAGGAGTGCGTACGGGGTGAGCGTGGAAGAACGGAGGGGTGTCCCTCCGGAGCAAACCCCCAGGAGGCTGAAGCAGAGCCTGGGAGGGAAAAAGGACGCAAACCCATGGACAACTCCAACTGGAAGACCGAGCTCCGAGAAAGCGATCCAGCACCCGGGTTTTTTCGTGTACTTGGTCCCAAGGCTTCAGGGGTCCCCTTCCCCCGCACCCCGGGTCCCTACTTCTCCCCAGCCCCACGGGCCACAGAGCCCCTGCCTTCCTTCTGGGCGCCTCTCTCTCAGCGGGCAGCCCACCCGCTTTCTTAAAAAGGGGGAAGGGTGGAGAGGGGAGGGGTGCGTTAAGAAAAAGCCGCCTAGCTCCGATTGCCCTGCTGGCCACTCTACCCGAGGTGGGGGGGACCCTGGGATTCGGGGACCCAGTCCCTGTCTGACCGTACCTAGCACCGGCCTGGATATCCGCACTCCTGGCCCATCTCTGGACCGGCCGGGACTCTCCCCTACCACTCCCCCTCCCCCACTCGCTTCCAAACAGCTTTCTTAAGCCACGACCCGGTCCACCCCCAGCACCAGCTTTCCCCCAGCTCCCAGCGCTGTTTACCTAATCTTAGTGGCAGCGCCAGCCAAGAAGGCGAAGCAAAGGTAGCGGTGGCACCGATGAGTCCCCAGCGAAGAAGTGAAAAAACGTTTGCTTTGGAGCTTCGGAACAAGTTAACTGCAAAGCTGGGGTCGTGCAGTCTTATCTCCGCAGGGACGAGTCTCACCGTGCACGTTGCTGGAATAGGAGATCGTATCTGTTTTTGATGCCATTATTGTGTCGGAGAAGAACATTATATGATAAAATATTATCTAATATCCTAGAAACTATTAAAGTGTCAAAGTTTAATGCCAAGCCTTTTAGCTCGAAGGCAGCTTAGTTCTTCCACTGACTTACAGGTCTGTTCTAGAACGCGCAAGGGCATCATTTTTATTTTTTTTTTTTGCCGGCCGACAGTCCTTCCTCCTCTCTTCCTCCTCGCCCACACCGCCCCCCCCCCAGAACCCGGTTGAGTTAAAGCAAGAATTTGTGCTTTCTTTTTATTTATTGCCTTGCTTCAGTTCATTAATGGTGTAAAAATGCATTATTACAATACATTAGCATATTAATAAGGGGAAGAGAAGAGTCCTGGAATTTACAAGCAAAGGGGGAAATAATTGAATTACATCAGAAACTCAAAGATAAGCAGAGGGAAAGAAACATCGCCATTGTAATTACCCAAGTGTGTTTCATTGTCTAGATCTCAGAAATAAAAATATGACCAGGGTGGGGGAGAAAGTGATGCTCTCTGGGGCCAGAAAAAATTCATTACTGGGGGAATTTCACAAAATTGGCTAGCTTGGGTCAGTAAGCTCCTTGAATGGAAAAGTTTGGCTCTGTCAACTCAAAGTTAGAATTGTAAGTCAGTTGTGCATATGGAATGCTCTAGATGTTAGAGTTTGTTACACGGAAATATTCCACAAACAGTACCAGTTGATTTCTATCATGGGAAGCCCCACATTCTAAAAAATTACTTTGGGCAA